ACGTTACTCCCGTGATTGAAATGAATCTAATGATACCGCATACATATTTTTTTAAAGGGAAATTTAGAAAAAATATTATTATGTCTTTATCCCGTGGGACTTTTAGGATAAAATGTATCCTATGACACTCCCGTAATCAAGACAAATCTAACGATACCTCATACATCAAAATCCATCAAGCCGTTTAGGCTACAGGAGGTCACAAAGGAAAAGACATACATACATACTTACATACACTCGAAAAACATTACCCTCCTTCTTTGGCAGTCGGGTAAAAATCGCCGGTCAATCGTAATGTTACGGAGATCCAACGTCGTTGGTAATTTTGACTTATGTTTATAACTTCGGCGGCCCACGCACTTTACAATATTTAACGAGTGAACCGGGTTACTTGGAGGTGTTCGTAGGTGGTCAGCCAACTTGTCATTATTTATGCACACTGTAAATGTCGAACCTAATCACTTATTTCTCTGTATACCGTAAAACAATATTGTTTTACTTATCCAATTGAAGCTCTATTCTTATTCTATTGAATCATTATAAACCATTCATTTGTTTAGATTGTCAGTAGTTCAAATTTCTGATGATAGTGATTCTATCTGTGATTTTTATGTAAGTATTATATTACAAGGTACCTTTATCTGGTAGTAAGTTACATAATGTTGTTACAAAAATTTAAATGATTTTAAAACGCAATTTTTTTGCTTAAATTTGGGACAGGCAGATAGACAGGTGCCTGTCCAGTTTTTTTGTTTGTTACAATTACTCTTTACAAAACCGAGCAAAATTAAATCGCAATGACAAAGCCAGTATCATTTGTAGGTAAATGTAACTAATTCAGATAAAGCTGGGCTTAAACTATTCATTAGGTCGCCTCAACCGGGGCTCGCGGTCCAGGAGAATTATTTATAAGGAGGCAGAGTAGGGTGGCCATTATTTTACTATACATACCCTAACGCTAATTTCATTTTACTAAGTGAATAAATATTAGAATAGACGTGTAGTTTTATCTCGAATGTGTTTGTGGGAATCATTTAAAAACACATGGTAAGCAATTAGGGGGAACTCCAAAATATTAAAACCATTCTCTACAATCTACATGACGCAACTATTTTGTATCTCATGTATGGTATCGCTTTTTTGCTTCCGTTTTTTTTATAATGACATACAATCTGGTCACAAATTGATCTACTTGTTTGTGCGTACTTAATCGTTATGTCATTTTGTACATCTATAAGTCTTATATTACCTACCTTGAAATGCTTTGGTATATCAGGTAACAAAGAGCAGCTTCAAAAATAAACCTCCATATTGAATAAATCCGTGGATTTGGTAGATAATTCTGGTAACCCTAGTTACGGGTTATTTCTCCTCATCAACGTGAGTGCTCAGCTTTAGGTTGTCCCAAAGCGTAGTTATGTGACTCCGCTATTATTATTTATGACGACTGTGAAAATTTACGCCTACCCAACCAAGTGAAACATTCTAATATCCTTTTATATCGACTACCCACAAAATTATTGCGGTCCACAGATTTAATGTAATTTTATGAACTTTTTTTTTGGGCAAACAGATGTTACTTGGAAAATGCTTTTTGTTCTAGTTACTTAACTAAGAATGGTTAACATCTTTACTATGTTATATTATTGATTTGTAACTACTAACGTTTAAAGGGTCAATAAAATTTCAAATTTGGTCAATTATTTTTTTCTTTTTATAGTTACTAGACTAAATGGCGAATTTTATATTATTTGATACATATAACTTAAAAAAGTTGTCCTCGTCTCCAAATTACATATTCATCGACAATCACATAATAAGATTCGTCTAAGATAATAAAGACTTGTCTGCATATTATGAGGCTTCTCATTAAACAAAGGGTTCTAAACATTTAGGTCTCATACAAAAACTGTTATCCCTAGCTGAAACAATGGCAGGGTTCCGCGCTTTTCTTGCGTGACTACCCGTTATGTGGGCTGAAAGTCAATTGATTTACAACTTCATAGTTTTGTAATAAAGTCGAGAATATATTGAAATCTGATGAAAGATTGTGGTAGGTCGATGTGCTGGTGTCTGTACCTAAGTGAATAGTGGAGTTGACGATGTGATAACATACTGTAACTCACTACCGTTTGTTTTTAATGGCACGCGGTGGCGCTTAGGTAGCTTACTGGCAGATTTAATACATTTGAGGATATACATCGTAAAAGTTAAAGCGCTTTATGTGGTTTTGGGACTGAAACGAGACACTAACATTCATACAGAGTGGAGAATTCTGTTTACAAATCAATTTCCACATTTTTATAATAGGAACAGATAGAAACCAACGCATTTCATAGGTATTGAAATACTTATTTTCTAATAAAATCACGTGTTTTTCTACCACGAACAGCAAGAATTTAGTCACGTTTTTCCTTATACGTAATATTGGTGCGACAAAATGATCTGCTGATGCACCACGAGGTCAATTGGTTTAAGACCTTATTATTCGCTATTGAACATTCGTAAAGGGACAGATGGCGGTGTTATAACACAACGTGCTGACCTATTTACGTTGAATGCCTGATTAATGACCAGTTGATACGACAGACGGACATTTTGGAGTTCGGTTTACCAAATACGCTGCGGTTTTGTATCTACCGTACATAAAGGACTCATTGTGTTTGGAGTAGAAAAAACATAGGCCCTTGTTTTCTTTAATGGCGTATTCCTTAAATGTAACAAAAAATGTCCTGTCTTGTTGATCTTCATTTTATGTCTTGTTAGCTAGGAGTGTGTTCAAGGCTGACTAGTCGACCTCTCAGTGTCGTACAGTTAACAGCAGTGCATCCATACAATAGCTGTTCATTCACGTTGTGTCTGACGTGAAACCGGTTTCGATTGCTCAGCTATTAATAGAGAACACATCAATGGAGGTATATAATTGCTTTTCACCCGACTTTATACAATTTTAAACGAAATTTAGATAAAATACTATCTGTAACGAAAATCTTCCAAATGAAGCTAGTAGAAAAGTAATCTTCGAATGTTGTAAACTTAAACATTTTTTTCGAAAACCGTTGAACATTCATAACTGGTTTGATTTCATGAGCAAGAATAAATCAAGACTAACAAAAACACTTTCACAAAGCAATTAGCTTACAAAAGACTAGCCAAATAAATGTTGAAATACTAGAAAACAATATATTGAAGTCTATGGTTGAGATTCCAATATAGTAAAGGAGTCTTCATCGGATATACCATAGACAATCTAAAACAAACAAAATGTCACTTAGATTTCCACAGATAAAACTAAACCAGTACAGGTAAGAAATTGTGAAATTGATCGCTCATAAATATATGTTGTTCATAGTACGCACGTAGATAAACACGAATGAGTTTGTCTGATAACATGTAGCTTAGATAACGCTGCGATATTATCAACTTTATTGACTCAGATTCTACATATGGCGCACCTGTTTAGTTTACACTGAACTTGACGTACGTCTTAATTCTTATCCTTATTTTCTTCGATACATTTTGTAAAAGGCATGCATGCTAGCTATTTCTTTTCTATGATGACATGTATACATACATCATTCTTAAATGTTATTATATATTGTAGTGTGTGTCGTAAATTACGCGATCGTTATCTTTAAGAAGTTTTTATTTGCAGTTAGTATGTAAGATTTACTGTATAAGTTGCACTTGTTGCCCCAATAACCTTGTAAATTATAAATATGTCATGTACAATGTTTTATTTTGAATTATTTAATGCTAAATTACACCTGACCAAAGTATGCATAAATGTATGAATAAAATGTTCTGATAATTATATCTTTAGTACTTTTGTTATGACATTACACCACTAAACTAGCGTCAAAAACACAGTATAAAAATACGTTTGATCTTTCCTCTCTCAGCCCTGAATTGGAGGATGTAGTAACTGTAGATAGACGTGCCCCAATCCTAACTAATATTATAAATGCGAAAGTAACTCTGTCTGTCTGTCTGTCTGTCTGTTACGCTTTCCCGCTTAAACCTCGCAACCGATTTTAATGAAATTTGGTACAGACAATCTTTAGACCCTGAGACAGAACATAGGCTACTTTTTTTTCGAAAAACAGGGATAAAGGGGTTGAAATAAGGGGTTAAAAGTTTGTATGGGATTTCTTAATTTTTAAAGATAAAACAATAAAACTTAATATTTAAGCACTTGATAAGAAAATATGAAATATTTGTTCTAGCATTTTTGAAATTTCGATCGGAACGGGATCTACTAAGCCAACCTTTATGTAGGTATACGAAATCTTAACTATTGAACCTATCTAATCTTAACCCGGTTTTTGGGTGTATCAAGTTACAAAATAGTTCACTTTCGAAGTATAAATTCCTTTTAATGAACACTCTGCTTCGCCGTCGCTGCCGTCGGCGTCGCGCACATTCGCCGAAGTGCGGCGCGGCGCTGTCGTGTGGTGGGGAAGCGCATGAATCTAACAATGTCTACCCAAACGGACAGACACGTGAGGACAGAGGTCGTTGTCGGGTGCGATAAGAGAAATTTGCGCTTTAGAGAATTACATTTTTCGATCCAGTAAAATTATTTTATTGCTTCGTCTAACTTTTTAAGTGTTTTTTATTAATTAGATCCTGTAAATAAATTTTGCACATACTTAATATTTCTTTTAGTTCATAGTTACAACGTTACAAGTAGGTAAGATAGTTTCCGTTACTTTAAATAAATACGATTTGCTTTTATTTCCTTTTTTTATTCAATTAATCTAATAGCATCCTACTTTTTTGCATTGGTTGTAAATAAGTACTTATCCAAGTACGTGCAGGTAGGGTGAACAAAGGTTTTTTAATATAATAAATCTTAATCTGTACATCTGTTTTGTTCGATTCATTTCATTTTTGTTGTTCTACGATGCCTCGCAAACGAAAGTCCAATTTAGCTAAAAGCTCTAGCAGAGCTCGGGCTGCTAAACTTGCCAGATCACTGGAATGAGACTTCTCGACAGACCCAAGCTCGCCAAGCCATTGATGCCGAGCGTCACGAGGCTCAAAGAGCTGCTGAGACCTCTCAACAGTCCCAAGCTCGCCAAATCATTGATGCCGAGCGTCATGCGGATCAAAGAGCTGCTGAGACTTCTCAACACACCCAAGCTCGCCAAATCTTAGATGCTGAGCATCAAGCTTCGTACATAGCCGCAGAGACCTCCGAAGAAACACGTAGACGACGTTTAATTAATGCCGAGCGGCAAAGGAGACGTACGTTTGTGATGAATACGTGGGAAGCATTTGCCGATGCTGCTTTTAATTATGATCTGTTACTTAATTACTTTAATCATCGATTTGTCCTCATAGGTAGAATGGCCAATAAATGCAGACACTGTGAGGCACTCAAGTGAAAGGAAGAGACCCTAGGTATGTGCTGTTCTGGAAAGTATCAGTACCAACGCTTGGTGACCCCGAGGAGCAACGACAGAAGAAAGGACAGCAATGAATCTCGGCGATTTTTCCTGTCATCATGCCTGGATTTTCACCCACATTTACAGTACAAGGGCAAGTTTATCATAGGATTGGTTCTTTGCTTTCCACAAACAATGATCAACCAAAATTTCTACAGATTTATTTTATGGGAGACGAAATCAGCGAGGTTGACCCTTGATGTCAAAATATTGAAGGAGATGAGAGGGACATTGTTTTAAAAATTCAAAGAATGTTGCACGAATATAATAACCTCATTAACGCCTTCAAAACAGCCTTAGAAAAAATGCCACGGGAAAATCACAAATTAGTAATACTCGGAGATCGTTCGCCAAGCGGAAAACATGAAAGACGTTATAATGCACCCTTATTAAACGAAGTCGCTGCCATGGTGTGTGGTGAACAGTTCACCACACACCATGGCAGCGACTTCGTTTCGACATAGTTAGATTCATGCGCTTCCCCACCACACGACAGCGCCGCGCCGCACTTCGGCGAATGTGCGCGACGCCGACGGCAGCGACGGCGAAGCAGAGTGTTCATTAAAAGGAATTTATACTTCGAAAGTGAACTATTTTGTAACTTGATACACCCAAAAACCGGGTTAAGATTAGATAGGTTCAATAGTTAAGATTTCGTATACCTACATAAAGGTTGGCTTAGTAGATCCCGTTCCAAATCCGTTCCGGGTCTTATCTTCAATTCATCCCCTATTTCACTACATATCACACAGATAAAATTCACACATTGATCAGGGTGTCCGACACACACAAGTTTTGTGACGCACTACAATATCCGCTTATGTTTAGCAATGAGCAAGAGGGGTACCGTTTTCAAATTCCACAAGAAGTGTGGAATTTGAAAATGGTACTCCTGGGCTGACCCCTGTAAGAGTCTCTTAGACATAAGGGACCAGGATTGACAAAAACTAATTTGACGCGGGCGAAGCCGCGGGCGGAAGCTAGTACCGATATAAGTATAGCTATACAGCTGTGTTGTTTACATAACGGAGCACGACGTATCAACGTTTACTCAGTCTGACGATCGTTAAGCCGAGATGGTTTAGCGAGACAGTCCGCTCTTTGATGCAGATGCAGCTTTGATCGTTGCTTACTGAGCGTTCCGATTAGTTCTTTGTTTGATATTCACAAAATATGGTAAAATGTCCTCGAGTTTTTGTTTTATGCCTCTAACAGTAATATGAATTGCTTTACTTACATTTTTTGCTATATTCTTCGCTGTATTTATATAGTTTAGTTAAGTTTGTTTTTGTAACTACATTTCATTGAATTCCATCCCTTAGAGTAAGTCGTGGTTAGCCTTGTTTCACGTTTTCCTGTAGGAAAATCAAAAGAAAAATATATTATTCATTTATTTTAGCAGTTTTACGTAACCACTACAAATTAACGTTCCATTACGAGTAGTTTCGTAGTTTTTCCGAAAGTCGAATTATTTATTTATAATCAATCCAAACTCTATTCTCGAATAAATATAAAGCAATCGAACGCACCAGTGATTCGATTCAACTATTTGGTTTATTTATTTGCCTTTGGGACGCGGGGATGGCGTCAAAAAGTTTCGTTACTTCTAACCAGACTTACTTACAACCTTGAGTCAGTCCCAATAGTAAAATAAGCAAAGTTCTAGATCAAATACAACTACACTTTGTCTGAAGTTACAATTAAAACTTGCTAACAACAAAGACTAATTAAAATTACTGAAGCTTGTTAATATTTCTGATTCGAAGATTTGCCTTTCGTTTGACTAAACAAACAAACAAGTTAATTTACGTTGGAGAGTATCGAGAGAAAATATTTCGCTTTTCCGACAGTAAACTTTGTACCTTTCGTTGTAATTGATCGTTGCAATTAATGCACGAATCGCTGATTTCGATGGAAATTCGGAAACTCTCGTATGTTTATTATTCCTTAGTTAACAATTCATCAGAATTTATGTGGGAGATTCTCCGTATCTGTTTGGTTATTGTGTTTGTTTCTGATAGTTGTGGTTTCTGTGGCTTCGGAAAATATATTAAGCCATTAATGCTGTGTTACGTATTATTTTATCCTACTAATATTATAACACCAAACTTGGTTATCTATGAATGTTTGTTAAAATTTTACATAGATAATACCTATTCACGGATCCAAATTAACTTTGAATCAGATATAGATTATAGTCGGGAATGAAAGCCGCTGACGTAAAAAACTAAAGAATTAATTTCGTAAGTCATTATTACTTAATAATTTTATGACAATAGTAACTCGATAACGTAACACCTATTGCGGTCAAGTTCTAGGTCGTAATATTACAAGACTGACTCATCAGGAGTTCCTACAATTTACATAATTCTGCATAAAACTATTTCTATAAACGTATCTATTATGCTAACGCGAGAACGTCATTTACTGCTTTTCTGTTTGTCAAAGGTTAAGTTGCTACTAAACTTCGTTTGTTTTACTTCATATTTGGTCCTTTTATAATTATAAAATTCATAAAACTTCTGTCAATCAGTGTCCTTGTTCAGTTTTGTCTCGGGTAGTAGTTGCAAGTACTAATATTGTACCGCGGCTTGCAGTAAAAGAAGGAACGGAGTGGTTTTAGCCGAGTCTAACACTAGCTCTACGTAGGGTGGAAAAAGTCATCTGATGAATCTGGCAAAACAGCCAAAAAAATTCTTACTTTACCCTGTCAGGTTTTATATATTGCTGTTTTTTCAAACCCGATTTGAAAGTAAAAGCGACTTTACATTACACATGTTTGAAACTTATTATTACTGTGACAGAAAACTCTTTGACATCATGACGTCAATGGATGGTTGTCAAACGTTGCCTAGAGATTGTAAATTTCGTCGTGAATTGTCAACACGAGTTGGTGTAATCGGTAAGGCGTGTGGATTACACCACAGAGACCCCGAGTTCGAGTCCCGCCGTAAACATGAAGTTTTTTAGTTGATGGAAGTTTTGTCGAACTTTCTGGAATATTTGAGTGAAAGTAATGAAAAATTAAGGAGCGAGAAGGAGAATAAATAAAAATGAATAACGAAATTATTGGAAGGTTCTGGAGGCATGACGATCAAAAAAGAATAACGAAATTGAATGTTCTAGAACCTGACCGGGGGTATATAAGCGGAACTGCGGCTCACCGCTGGCAGTTGAGTTCTAAGTCTAAAGCGATTCGGAAGAAAAGGAAGAAGTGAAAAAGAAGAAAAGTGAGTGAAATAGTGAATTGCAGTGAAATAGTGAAGTGCAGTCAGTTAAGTGAAGTTAGCGTGAACGGCAAAGTTGTGTCAGTCGGCCGGACTCTGCTGGAGAGGAACGCCGATAACTTAACTCCGTGGACGCTGTAACTTAAGCGCAATAGAAAGTCTGAAAACCGGTATTAGTGTTTCATTTCATCCAATCCCGTAACCCAAGCCCGCATAGTCAGGAACGTGACGTCAGGCACGTAACATTTGGTGTCAGAAGTGGGATTGGAGAAAAATGCCGCTAGTGCCGCAGGACGTAAGAGGAGTGAGTACCCGTGCTATGTCAGAAGCGCAGCGTGTGAGGGAAGAGGGTGCTGCAGCTCAGACCAGCGATGCAGAAGCCAAGCCTGTGCAGATGGATCTTCTGCTACAGCTGCGGCAAATGATGGCAGAACAGCTGCGTGAGCTGAAAGAAGATCAAGCGCGCCGCCAAGAAGAGCAAGCACGCTGTCAGGCAGAACAGCTGCGGGAGCTGAAAGAAGATCAAGCGCGCCGCCAAGAAGAGCAAGCGCGCCGCCAAGAAGAGCAAGCGCGCCGCCAAGAAGAGCAAGCGCGCCGCCAAGAAGAGCAAGCACGCTGTCAGTCAGAACAGCTGCGGGAGCTGAAAGAAGATCAAGCTCGTCGCCAAGAGGAGCAAGCGCGTCGCTTGGAGGACATGCATAAAGATTTCACGAAGGGACTGCAAAAGGCTGTCGAACGGGTACAAGAAGTGGAGGAAGGGTTAGGCAAGTTGAAACTTCGCGTCATGGCGATAGAGGAGAGACTGGAAGAAGAGATCTCCAAAATCAAGCAGGAAGTGACAAACCCAAGCCCTTTGAAGAGCCGAAGCCGTCTTGCAGCCGTTTTTGACGCCCCAAATGCGGCCTTAAGCGCAACGAAAGGGCTCAAGATTCCCCATTACGACGGAACAACATCCTGGACTGCGTTCAAGCTACAGTTTGAGACACTTATGGAGGCTTATGGTTGGACTCAGAAGGAAGCACAGTCAGCCCTTACCCTGGCCCTCCGTGATCAAGCGCTCTCAGTGCTGGAAGCTATCGGCGCAAGTGGGGATCTCAGCTTTAGTGCCCTCCTCGACGCACTTGAAGCACGTTTTGGAGACAGCCACCTCGAGCACGTGTATAGAGCGCAATTAAAAGAGCGTACTCAGCGTGCTAATGAGAGCCTACAGCAATGGTCCGTGGAAATCGAGAAACTTGTACGTCGAGCTTTCCGGTCGATTCCGTCAATGATTGAAGGCACGCTTCTCCAAGCGTTCATTGACGGTATTCGGGACCCAGAAGTACGAGCTGCTGTTCACCTGGGCCATCACAAGATCATGAAAGAAGCTCTGGCCCATGCATTGGAAGTGGAAGCCGTGCGTAGCAACTCCCGTACCTTACGTCTGCGGGAAATGACGACAACGGAGCAGGTACCTCCACGCCGTCGGAACTTCATGTGCTAT